TCAGTCTGCCTTTGGCCTTGCCCACGATGACAGGCCCATCACTCTGCCTCACTCATCTGCTCACCATTTCAGGACTTCTCTGTTACGCAGCTTGCTGCTTGGGTGAGTTGTGCGAGTATGTGTGTATGCATGTGCATTTGCATGTGTATATGCATTGTTTTGGGGGAAAAAGGCTCTCAGAAAGCAGCCTTGTTCTGGGAGCCCTCAGCAGCCTTTAAATCTTAAACTTCTCAGCCAGTGTTGGAACCGCAACATAAAGGGTTTGCCAGTGGAGTTGGGGGGAGCTTGGCATACATGCTCATGTGTGTGTGCACTTGTGTGTGCCCCTCTTGTGACCTTGACAGCCGAGTGGTAGGCTGGCAGCTGCTGTTCCCTTGGCTCTGGAGTAATATCGTGTTCCGTGGTCTGGGGCCAGTCCTAGGACTGGTGGCCTCTCCATCACGATTCCTGCTGACTGGCTTGGGTGACACAGCTCACCATCCCAGGGGCAGCAGCCACCAAGCCACCAAACTGTTGTAGGTTGTGTCCTCACCTGCCCCCGATGCCTGCCCATGAGCAAATTGCAAGGTGGCAAATCCTAATATGGTCTTTCAGAGAGGTTCAAATACCTTCAACTCTTAGGAACAGAATTTGTGTTTCAAGGTGTGTGTGGTACGTGTGGGCATTAAAGGAAAGCTGTATGGCAAAACCTTCTCTGGAATATGTGAATTGGGGAAAACCTGGTAAATAGCAGCCAGAAAAGGTGAGAACTTGGCTGTGGCTGAGCCATCCTAAGGGCCCAGACACTTAGTGATGTTGTGCCTGTCACCTCTCCCCCACTCCCCTCCTCGTGGGTCCTTCTCAGCAAGGCAGGGAACGGTCCAAAAGGAAGTTGAAGTTGAAGTTGAACAGCCCACCAACTGCATGAGCAGCTGCAGAACAGTTAGCAGGTGGCTGCACCTGCAATTTCCCCAACCTGCGAAGACAGGATGTTTATGTCACTTCTTTCCTTTGGTGGCGTCTAGTGACACGTTTGCTTGATTTGAGGGGGATGCTTCTTGATATAAAAAGAAGGAGGCAGAAACAGAAAGGGCTGTCTCTAGTACCCTAGACAAGTACCCCGGTCTTGCGAGTGGGAGATCTGCAAGGACACAGCGCTGATCCTGGCGTTGGGTGTATAAAAAGGACTTGGGGGGTGGTTTGAGCCAAACTCCTCTGGTCCAGGTGGAGAAACTGAATCTCAGATTGAAAAGAGAACGGTGCCATGTCACAGGGTCACTTGCATCCGGACTCCTACTCTTTGATCCAAGTCCCTGTATTTCCAAGAGTAAGTTGGAGTGAGTCACTTTCCAAGGCTGTGCCCCAGAGTCAAGAGGGTCTGGAGTCCAAAGGGCAAAGCCAGCATCAACCAGAGCAAAACAACCCCAAATGTTTGCCCAAAGCCCACGTTAGACTGGGCACTGTTTCTGTCCGCAATTTGGCACTGCAGTGGCCCACGTGCAACATGACTTCGGTGCCTTTGCCTCAGGACAAGTGCTCCCGAAATTCTGTCCTGGTGGGCATCTCCAAGGCAGCTGCCTGGGGCTGAGCCACATGGCACAGCCAGGTGTCTGCTCCCCGTGTACACACGCAGGATTTTTCCATCACAACAGAGCCTGCCGGGGCTTTTCCAGCCTGGACCCTGAGCTCAGACATGATTCCACGGAGGCAGCATAGTCCAGAGAGAGACCCACAGGCCACTCAGATGACACCAAAATAGACATGCGAAGTCCTGGCTTAGTTGTCTGGGAGGAAGAGGCGGGGGGTGGGGGGAAGCTGTTCCCAAACACGTCCACCTGATGGAAATATTCTGAGTTGGAATGAGCTGTAAATAAACTAGACTGTGCTAAAAACAAACATCTCCAGGGAGCTGGGGGGAGAGGGGGGCAGGAATAGATGGTCTTCACCTGCTGAAAATGAAGTAGGTCAAGAGGGGAAAGAGATGGGGAGGGATGAACCATGCAGATGCCTCCGCAGGAAAAGCAACTAATAATTTACTCTCACTGAGAGTTCTCCAGTTTCCAGGAAGAAATTAGAGGTGATTGCTTTAAATGTTGCAGGGTCTTTCATAGGTGGAAGGCCACACAGGGCAAGGGGTGAAGGGAGGCGTTGCAGGCCATATATGGTCTGGAAAAATAAATGGTCAGGCGTGCACATGAGCCAGGCGAACCTGCCAGCTCCTAAGGTGTTCCCAGCTGGGAGAAGCTTTGTGCATCCTCAGCTCTGAGCTGTCTGCTGAGGTCAGAGAGAGGCAGAGGAGAAGCTGCACCTGGGGGGTCGTGGAGGGTCCTGGAGTGCCCGTGGGTGTCCGCCAGCCTTCCCCACACACCCGAGACAGAGTGGAGCAAGGGAAGCTGCCCACCCCTAGCTTTAGGGAAGCAACTAGAAGAGGAATACCACTGGCGTTAACGTCAAGCTTTATAGCAATATAGCTATATTAGTTTACCGCCACTAAAGAGAAAAGCAGCCTGTGACAGCTGAGCGGGCCTGCCACTCCCAGCCAAGCCATGGTGCTCTCTCTCCTGTTGAACATAAATGATCTCACAGAACAACATCAGACAAGGTCACTCTGCAACTGTGATGGATCAAGACAAAAGCAAGGCCACTTTGCCCCCATGTCAGACACAGACAAAATAAAACCATCAGCCAACCACAGAAATGATCCACTATCCCTCTGTGCCTGCTAATCTGAGTGACTGCTGCTCCCTTACCAGCCCCAGCTTCAGTCTCCATCCTTCCCCTCTTCTAGCTGAGAATTAAGACAGTCAGAGACTAGCCCTTGCTTCCTGAAGCATCCAATCCAGAGTAGGGCCAGACTTGGCTTCCTCACAGTCTCCCCCCAAATCACCTGCAAAAGCCCCAATCCTGGGGTAAATCCTTTCTCATGCCCTGTTATGAAGATGCCCCATGGTTCCCCCTGGTGTGCATGCTCCCTCTTGGCAGTGCGTCAGTAGAGCCAGCTGTGTTCAACTACAGGTGCTTTCCTGATGGTCTTTGGTTGAAGGGCACTGTTACTGTAAATCTCGCATAGCTGTTACAGGAGCCCCTTGCCTTCTTCTTACACCCTGACCTTTATTTCCACCCACATTGCAGTCATAGTGCAGAAATCTCGAGGGAGGACTCTGGAACCAGACTCTGGGTTCAAATCCTGGCTCTGTCCCTTCCTAGTTGTATGACCTTGGGCAAGTCGCATTACCTCTTTGCCTCAGTTAACTGATCTGTAAAATGGGGGTGGTGATGATAATAATAGTACTTACCTCTCAGGGTTGCTGTGAGGATTAGGTAAATTTATATGAGTGAAGCATTTAAATGGTGCCTGGCATATTGTAAGTATTTTTGTTTGTTCATTTGTTTTTTATTGATTTCAGAGAGAGGAAAGGAGAGGGAGAGAGAGATAGAAACACTAATGATGAGAGTCATTGATTAGCTGCCTCCTGCACGCCCCCTGCTGGGGATCAAGCCCGCAATCCGTGCATGTGCCCTGACCAGGAATCTAACCTGGAGATCTACTGGATCATAGGTCAGCGTTCAACTGCTGAGCCATGCTGGCTGGGCATAAGTGGGTTTTTTGTTGTTGTTGTTTTTGTTTTTTTAAAATATATCTTTATTGATTTCAGAGAGAGGAGAGGAGAGGGAGAGAGAGAGATAGAAACATCAGTGATGAGAGAGTCATTGATCGAGCCCACAACCCGGGCATGTGCCCTGACCGGGAATCGAGCCCCGATCACCTAGATCCTAGGTCAACGCTCAACCGCTGAGCCACGCCAGAATGGGCCATAAGTGGTTTTTTAAAAATTAGTTTATCAAACACTTGAGGACTCTCTAGTGTATGCCAGTTACTATGCTAGATCCTGGGGATAAAAATGGCTCCTATCCTCTGGGAAAGCACAGGTTAGAGAGATACAAGGAAACAGATTCACCCCATGGATAGAAGTTAATATAGGGGTAAGCCCAAAGAAAAGCATAGCAGGACCCCTCAGCATTGGCCTGGGAAATCAAGGAAAGCTTCCTGGTGGAGGCAGCTCCTGACAGTTCTTGATGTACAGTAAGAATCTCCAGGATCGGCCTGGGTAGAATATGAGCAGAAGGGCCTTGTCAGCCACTCAAGCTCCACAGGCTTTACCATCTACAGGTCTGGGGCACCATTTAGGCATCTTTCTGCCTCCCCCCCCCTCCCCCAGGGCTAGCCCAATACCTGCAAAGCACTGTGCTCAAATTAACAAATGATTAACACCAAATTTGGCAGCTTTCCCTACAAACTAGTGCCTCCTCTGACTTTTCCATCTCACACACTGACCACTGTTGCCCTGGGTCCCTAGCAGCATCCTAAACTCCCCTGATTCTTCCTCCTCTTTCCCTGCTGCACTGGCCCCAGTTCCCTTCTCAGTCACCTGTGCATCAAGAGACGCCGTGTGGCAGCGAAGCTAGGGAGGCCCAGGGCCCTCTCTTCATCTCTTCACACCCATGGATTGAGACGTTTAACTGCAACTCTCCAGCGAGCATGGGTGACACCCAATGTGAGAGTAGAGTCTGGAGTCAAATGTGTATTGAAACCATGGGTCGCCCTCTCTTGTAATCAATGCTACCTCCAGGCCTGGCTGCCTCCTTCTCTTAACGATCCCTTTGGAGACAGAATCAAAGTTGTTCACAACCACTCCCTTCTCCCCGAATGCTGGGGGCACATTATGCATCTGTTTAACTTTGAATTCCTTGCCCCATCTACAAAGTGAATGCCTGAAGGAGAAATGGACAGTGTGACAGTCAGTGTCCCTGTCCTTTGCTCGTTTATCTTACTCATATCATCTCGAGAAGGCTCAGGGAGGGCTCTGCCAAACAGCAAACAGGAGGTGTGCTCACCCCTAACTGGTAGGAGTCAGATTCGGAAATGCAGGGTGGCAGCGTGGGTCTCCCTGGGCACAGTGGGCATGACCGAGGCCCTAGACCTGACCCCACGCTAACGAGCAGCAGTTTTCTCTAAACAGCCCTTCCTGGCCTGGATCAGAAGAAGCGGGGCAGCCACAAGACATGCTGCCTGCTGACACCCCCTCCGCCCCCACTGTTCCCACCACCATTCTTCAGAGGGGGCCGAAGTCCGGTGAGTACCTGAGGACAGGTGAGGGAACAGGAATGGGGGCTCCTCGGTGCCCGCCACGCTGCCCCGCCCCACTCCTTCATCCCTCAAAGTCAGCTCCCCCCAGGATCTTCTCTGAGGGATTCGGGCCCTTCCTCTCATACAGCAGGTGGAGCCTGGAATGGACATTTTCCAATTTCTGCCTTGACTAAGTTGTGGAGGGGATTCTTCTCAGCAGGGAACTGGATTTGGCAAAGTGTCCCATCTTCCCCAAAACAATGAGGTGAATGGATAACTTTCTGGGCTCCCATCAACAGCTCAGATATGGAATTTCCCCTTTAGTTTGTCTTCCCTACAAGTATTTATGAAATTTCCCTCCACAGCCATATCTAACAGACCATTTTTGGGAAGTGACGCAGGAAACGGTCCTCCTGCAGCCTCCTGTAGAGGGAACAGAATTGGGAAAGAGAGGAAAAGGTAAAGGAAAGAGCAGGATTTGGGAAGCTGACCTAGAAGACAAGAGGCAGGGCATTCTAGGGACTTGAGAGTGTCAGATCTTTCCAGAAACTCAACCTGTGCTGTCCAATACAGCAGCTAGCCACATGGGCTGTTGAGTACTTTTAACATGCTAGTTTGAGTTGAGCTGCACATATAAAATACTCACTGAATTGTGAAGACTTTGTATGAAAAGAAGACTGTAAAATACCTAATCAGTAATTTTTAAATATTGAATATGTGTTGAAATGATAATATTTGGTGTATACTGGGTTAAATAAAATATATTATTAAAATCAATTTCACTTGTTTCCTTTTACTTTTTTAATGTGGCTACCAAAAATGTTAAAACTGCATATGTGACTCACATTGGTGGCTCACATTTTATTTCCTTTGGACAGTGCTGTCCAGACATTGGATAGAGGCCCCTGAAATAAGCTTCCTAACTCCCATCATTGTAGCTCTGTAATCCATTCAAACCAGGTGCGTCTCAAGAGCAGATAAGAGAACAGACCCTGGTGGCCAGGAAGGCCATCTTCTTGGGACACCCATTGGGGTGTCAGGGAAGCTCCAGACTTGGGAACTGGACTATGGAGCAGGTCTGTGTCCAGGGTGGTGACCCTCCTTCTGTCCCCCAAGTCTGACCTATGACCCTTTATTGCTTTGCATTGAAGCTTCTCTCCCCAGACATGAAGAATCTCATCCTGGAACTGGAGACCACACAGTCCCCGTGCGCCCAAGGATCGCTCGGCTCCCCTGGGCCTCCTGGCCCCCAGGTTGGTGCATTCCACAAGACCTCTCCTCCTCTCCTGCTGTCTTCTGCTCAGAGCAGTGAAGCCTCTCAGAGATGCCCATTTTAATGTGATATGGGGGCTTTTTTTCCTTCTCTGGCTCACCTCCAGCTCCAGAGCCACATGACTAGAACACAGGTCCTTTGGGTGAATTCTGGCCCCCCAGTCTTGGTTTCCTCACCCATGCAATGGGGATAAATGCAGTACTGAACTGAGGGTGGGGGACCAAATGAGATGCTGCTTAGATGGTGTGGTTATTATTATAGTTTCCATCAAGCACTTGATGACAATGGGTTGCCCCTTCTGTGGCCATCGACCCCATCAGTGGACCCAGAGGTACCTGCTCTCAGTGCAGCAAAGTGAAGGCAAATGGGACCTAGAGCACAACCCTGGTGAAACAGTTCCACCAGCACATTTTAAGAAATGAAAAAAACTGAGGCTTGGAAAAAAAGAAAGACATGAACAAAAACTCTCCACCTTCCCCCTCCCCCAAACAGAAGGAGAATAAACCAAAGATGGTGGTTTCCAAACTTATCTGCACATTAGAATCCCCTGGGAACTTCAAAAATCCCTGATGATCATGCCCCTCTCGCTGAGATTGTGGTGTAATTGGTCTGGGGCGTGGCCTGGTCTTGGGGACTTTTAAAAGATCCCCAGGGAACTGTAATGTGCAGATAAGCTTTGGAACCACTGGCTGAGGGAGTTGTTTGTCATTTAGATGAGTCTCATAAAACCATATTTCAAACTGGCTTTGTGTTAGGAGTGCTCACTTGCAGATCTTGGGGATAAAATGGTAGCCTGGGGCGGGGGTGGGGTGGGGTGGATGGATTTTCTCTCTGCTGTACTGGGAAATTTGGAAAAGATTAGCCAGCTGATCATTTCATAGACGCATGAGCAGAAAGTAGCTATATTCTGCTGTGGGTGTGCCAAGCCTTAGTGCAATGGGTCCCTGAGCTGGTGTCAGCCCCACCCCTGTGGCTGGGCAGTGGGACAAAAATATGCACTATTTACCTGCTCACATTCTTAATGTCTTAAAACAGAAGACTTTTGCTGCCCCTGCTACCCATAGATCCACCATGGGGATTTCTAAGTTGGCTGCTCCTGTGTGCAAAGGTGTAACTTGGTAAGAGCAAGTGAAAAGATAGGAGAGGCAGTGAAGCCTCTTGTTTTCAGCACACAACATTTCTTCAAGTCTCTTCAGTTGGTCTCCCTAAGCACTCAGGATGTTTCAGGCAACCCAAGAATTCCAGGGAGAAAATTAAACTCACAGAGAGTAGACACGAGCATTGCAACCTTGGGACCACTGGAAACACAGCTCTGAGAAGCTAGAAGAGGAAGAACACAGAAGAGGAGACTGGGCTGGTGTGCACAAGAGGGTCCTTCATGGGGTTTCTGAAGCCCTGAGTCTGCATAGAGAATGGAGTTGCTGGAGGCGTGTTCCAAGAGTTTTCTCGCGTTCCTGCCTCCCTCACCACCTGTCCTACCTTGGTCTGATATATACTTTCTTTGCTTCTTGGTTGTGTAGGGTCCACCGGGGCTTCCAGGCAAGATAGGACCAAAGGGAGAAAAGGTATGAGCCACTACTCTCTTAGTCCCCCTCTTCTTGGTAATTCTAGCCTGTTTTCTGAGGATTCCACTGAGCATTTTCTGGTTGAGATTTCAAGGCATGTGCCTTAGTGCATAAGGATGGGCTCCCTGAGAACAGGGCTGCTGCTGCGGGTGTGGGATCCCACTGGTGTATTCCGGCTGGGCCCACTGATGTGGCAGGGCTGCTGTGAGTGGCCAAGCCATCAAGCCACATGGGCATGCCCAATCATCAGCCCTCCTAAGCCCTCTGCTTCCAGAACTTCTCTTCCAAAGCAGCCTCCGCTTACCTGTCTTTTCCATCCATAGGGGGAGCTTGGCCGACCAGGAAGGAAGGTATGATCCGTGTTTCTGTCAGCATTACATGGGCAACTGTGCGTGTATGACTGTGTGTGCATTTCTCGGGGTGGGGAACCAGCAGTGCACTACTGTGGCGTCCAACCCATTGGATGGTAGTGGCACAGTCATCCTGATGATAACAATATTAGCCTTTCTCTTTCTGCCCACTCCTTCTCTTAGGAGCTGGAGCCTGCTACTGCCATGCATTCAGTCTTCTTCCAGAGGCTGCCAAGCTCGGCCAATGCTCCCCCAGCCTCAGAGCATCTCATCCTGCCATCCATCAGAGAAACTCTCCAAGGACCCAACCAGTGGCACAAAATAACTCTCACTGTCTATTAGATTAAACGAGAATAAAGTGCCAAACAGACAGAAACAATTGGCTTTTGCTGAAATAAATGGGAGTTACTTTAGGTCACAGGGACTCTGAGTGAACCAAATACATGTTATCAAGATTCTCATTAGTGTCAGGAAGAAGAAAAGCAGCAGCCACTCGCTGTGGTCAATGGATGCTGGCACTGAAATTGTAGGTCTTGGTGATAGAAGGAGGCACAAAGCTTTGACCAAGAAAGATGCCTATGGTTCTAAATATAAATTACTAATTTTTTTGGTTCAATGTTTTATTCAAATACTTTCCTTATCAATTAGAGTTTCAAACAGACCTTTGCAAGGCAATGTCACCACCCTTTAGGGCACAGGTGACAACTCCAGTCAAGGCATGGTGGTTGTCAGTCAAACTGCTGGGCTGGAGAGGATTCTGGTGTGGTCTCCATGCTCAGAACTAATGAGGGCCATGATGAATTAGTGATGTGTGCCATGGATATGAGAAGCAAGAGTAGAAATTGGTACCCATGCAGTGTTTGTGATCCTTGGTTTAGGGGCTGAACTTCTGCTGGGCTAACTAAAATGAGCCAGTGTTTGCAGAGGTCAAGATAGACCCCCAAGACCTTGCTCAGACTCTTTCATTCAGGACTTACTCTTCCATAGCCCCAGGCTTAAGTTGAGTTCCTTAGAAGCAGTGACAGAGATGGCATGCGCCATGTGCAAGTGAACCAGTTATTAAGGGAGCTCTCTCAAGAAGAGACTGAGAAGGGGGATCCAGATGGGGCGGGGGAAGAAGCCCACTGTGGGAGTGGTATCAGGTGATGTCCTCTTTCAGCGTGGGTCCCTGGGGGAGCTGGGCAGTAAAAACTGCAACCACAGTTGTAGGTTGCAGGAATGACTTATTACAGCAAAGAAGGTAGGCCCTGGGGGATGGGCACACTGAGCATGTGAAGAAGTTCTGGAGAGAGTACCAACAGCAAATGCTGCTGCTCTCCAAACATAATCCTATGCCATTTACACCATACCCTTGGGGAGATCCTATTGGAATGTAGGGACATTTGGGTGGGTGGGTGGAGGTGATAAAGAAGGAAAAACCAAGAAGTTTAGAATCCCTTCTCGGCCACCTTTCATTTCTTCAGTAGAATAACATCTTGTGTATTGACACAATGTCATACCAAGGGCTTTCACTTATGCCTAAGTGATCCAACTTTTTGGCCATCAGTTTTTGGAGATGAGGGTCCTAGGGCCATTCTATAGAGGCCCCATACTCCTCTGAGCCCGAGACAAATCTTGTTTCCTGGAAGAAAGGAAACAAACCCAGTTGTCCTGACTTTTGTTCTTTGACTTTGAAGGGTAGACCTGGCCCCCCGGGTGTTCCTGGCATGCCTGGGCCCGTCGGCTGGCCTGGCCCTGAAGGACCCAGGGTAAGTGTGGTGCGCTTTCAGGGCTCATGGGGTATCTTTCGAACATAAGGGAGAAGATGGCAACTCCCCTGACCCCAGGCACACAGTGAGTGACACTCACTTCCTCAAGAGGGGGAGGAAGAAGAGAGCACAAGGACTGCCCAGACGTCCTCAAGTATTTCATCCTTCACTTTGACTGCAAGACCTCGGTCAGTAACAGCTCTCCTGTAGGGGGAGAAACGAGGGGCTGATGTGATGATGGCCTCTTTCACAGGGGCCTGATTCTCCTTTGTCCTGAGAGTTAGCTTGCAGCTCTTTGGTTTCCCTGGGATGGGCTAAGAGGGCGGGTGTCTGGAGAGCTGTTGGGAGTCATGCTGATCCGGCTAGAGGTGGAGGGTTGAGGGGATTAGCGTTGGGGGACTAGGAAAACCGAAACCCTGCATTCACAAGGCATCACCAAATGCTGATGACATCCCCTTCCTCAGACAGGTTATGGAAAGCAAACACACCCACACCCATGCCCTTGTTCACATTCTTCCCACTTTGGTCATAGACTCAGGTGTAGAGGCCATGACTTGGGCAGGTGAATGTCACCATCTACTCTGATTCACTTACGGGCAGAATTTGTAAGGGAATAGAAAACTATTCCCAGTCCTTGTAGGAAAAGTCCCAAGGATATTTTTTTTAAAACTACTTGTATAAAGCTGAGCCATCCAATATGGCAGCCACTAGCCATATCTGGTTATTGAACCCTTGAAATGTGGCTAGTGCAACTGAGGAACTGACCTTCGCATTTTCACTAAGTTTGAATCTTAAAACTTTTACTTAACTCAGTTATTTGAAAACATTTAAGTGTGAGTATGGGAATCACATGTTGAGTATGTGAATCTTCTTTTTCAACTATACATTTTATGAACTCTAAATGCACTTCATGTATTTTGGATGAAAATTTAGCTCCTGAATTGAGACGTTGTTTAAGTGTACAATGCACAACAGATTTCAAATATTTATGAAAAATAGAATGTAAAATATCTCATTAGTACTTTTTATATTGACTACATGTTGAAATGATAATTAGATTTAATTAATTACAGTAAATAAATATATTGTTAACATCAATTTCACCTATTTTTACGTGACTTCTAAAAAATTTAAAATGAAGTATGTGGCTCACCTTGTATTTCTACTAGCTAGCACTGGTATAGTTTCTTAACACAGAGGGTGCTGAAAGTTCCAACTGCAAATGATTCTGAGGGGCAACAGAGCTCACCCATGAGTCTTAGCTCCCTGCCTTCATCGTACACACCCAGAGGCTGATGTTCACTCTACTTGGTTGCAACTCTAGGGTGAGAGTATATGGAAATGTCTGAAAGATCCACCCTATGCAAAGAGTAAAGCAGGTGAAGTGTTTTTGGTGCTGACAAATCCTCTGGGGCCCCAGTACCCCGTGTTCTCCCCACCTCCACCTCCCATCCTTTTACAACCTTCTCTAGGAAATGATCAAGCGTTATTCCATTACAGCACCTTAGTGAGAATTTAGTTTTGGAGATCTGCTCTGCCTTGGAAATTTCATTTCATATTTAATCTCAAATTCCAGAATGAAGTGTGGAGTATGGAGCTTTGGGCTCCTGGGAGTAAGCAAGGGAGCATTTAGTGTCCTCAGATTGATAATCAGCCCCAGTATCCCCAGTTCCTTTCTGATCTTGCCCATGACTTCCTGGTTCAGTTTCTCTAGGAAATGTCACTATAGGTCTTTCCCCTTCTTCTTCTGATTCCCACAGGGTGAAAAAGGTGACCTAGGTCTGATGGGCTTACCAGGGTCAAGAGGACCAATGGGCTCCAAGGTCAGTGTGTTGGTTCAGATGGATGTTCCCAGATCTTCTCAATAAGGCTCTTGAGCAGCTGTTACCTACAAAGATGGGAAGTGGGTGTGGCTGCTGTCCTGGGCCAGGCAGTGTCACAGATGTTGGACAGCCCGATGCCAGGGTGCTTGTCTTTACCAGCCTTAGGGAGACATCAGGGCTGGGACGCAGGGGCATAGAGATGCCATCCCTACTCTTCTCCTGGGCAGCAAGGGTCAAGCCTCTGGACAAGAATACAGGTGGAAATCTTTGTTCAGGCCTTTGGGGAGGGTGGTGGTAAGAAAAACAATGTTCTTTTTAGGCCTGGCATGAACACAATCCACAGGGTCTTCTTTGTATTAAATGTTGCAACCCCCACTAAAACTTGCAGTACAATGGGACACACCTCCCCACCACATTCAGGGATTCCATCCACTTTTGAAACGAACCCAAAGGTCCTGATTTTAAACTTACCTTCTGCTTTTTTTTAGGGCTACCCCGGATCCAGAGGGGAAAAGGTTAGTGCTTCTCTCTCTCAGCTTCCCAGAGCCTGGTGTGGGTTATTGGCTCCGGGGTCAGTGAGGGTGGGCCCAGGTCTCTCTTCAATCAGTGACTACAGTGACCATGCCTCATATTCCCCCATCTTTTATCAGTGGGCTGAGAGAGAAGTGAGGGGATCCCTGAGGCCGGACAGACAGCTTAGGGAGGAGCTCCCAGTGGCGGCAGAGGCCCCTTACATGGAGCAGATGAGCACCAAAGCTGTGCCAGGTGGACAATGGACGCAGCTTGCACGGTGTGCTGGAGGAAGTTGGCACATGTGTCTTTAGACTAAGCTTCCCCACACAACTTCTCATCTGTCAAAAAGCAAAACCAAAAACCCAGCCGGAACCGGGGGACACATTTCCTATAGGATGGGAGAGGGTTTGGGACCCAGACTTTTCTGTAAGTTGTCCTTTATTGATGCAGGAGGTATTTGGGGTCCAAATAGAAGGTAAATCCCAAAGCATTTCTTCCCTGGGAAGGTCTCTTAATCTCGGAGCCTGTTTCTTTGCCTGCGAAATGAGGGTATTGGCTTAGGGAGCTTTTAGTTTCAAATGTTCCAATTTCTCTCCCATGGTATGAACTCATGGACTCTCTCTGGTGGTTTTCTCTTAGGGATCCAGAGGTGAAAGGGGTGACTTGGGTCCCAAAGGAGAAAAGGTAATGGCTGTTGGATAGAAATAATCAACTACAACGAAAGTGGTGGCCCTCCCTGCCCACCCTCATCTTGTGGGCTGACTGGCTGGCTGACTGGCTGGCTGGCTGGCTGACTGGCTGACTTGCTGACTGATTGACTGGCTGACCGGTTGACTGGCTGACCGGCTGGCTGACTGGCCGACTGGCTGACTGGTTGTCTAACTGTCTGATTGGGTGACTGGATGACTGACTGACTTGCTCACTTGCTGACTTGCTGGCTGACTGGCTGACTGGCTGGCTTACTGGCTGACTGGCTGACCGGCTGACTGGTTGTCTAACTGTCTGATCGGGTGACTGTCTGACTGACTGGCTGACTGACTGGCTGACTGGCTGACTGACTGGGGGGCTGACAGGACTCTAACTTGAAAATGGCTGACTAAGCTCTTCCATGGCCTTTTCAAGCATTCTTTCAGAGGCAATCACTATATTTGTTGTTCTCTTCACAGGGTTTCCCAGGATTTCCTGGAATGTTGGGGCAGAAAGTAAGTACCTATGAGTAGTAAAAAATTAAAGTAAAAAAAAATAGACCATCCAAAGACAACAAAAATAGGTGTACCTGTGTTCATCAGGCAGGGAAAGTGGGTCTCGCTTCCATAGAAGGTTCTGGTTTGGAAGGGGGGCAAGTTGTGAACCTGTTGGTGAGGGGGCGGCAGGAGGGCCTGAGACCCCTCCTGCTCAGTGGAAGGCTGGATGAATAGAGGCCCTCCTTTGCATGTGCTGAGCCGTAGAGGGCTGGAGTGAAGTTCACAGGCAGAGAGCTTTATGACGAGGGGCCCGGGCCTGAGCCGCAGTGTCAAGGCCCCAGGGCGAGGCGCCGGCATCTATGGCCACTGCCAACTACACCCAGCTCGGCACGTCTTCAGGGTGACACATGTACTGCTACAGGTAGGCGGAGTTACTTGAGCTGGGTGTTAGCAAATATTTTTCATTTGATAAACTTTTTATTTAAATAGTTAAATATTTAGTGGGAGTTCGTAAATATCTTGCTTTGGGACAAGGCTTAATAAAAAGGAGTTAAATCAGTTGACTTAAAGAAAAAATGTTCAGTAAATAAGAAAAAGGTGATGTCAGATAGGACAAAAACTGTGAGGGTGACAATTGACTGACAGAATTTTTTAAAAACTTTTCTCCAGTCAGTAGAACATATTTAAATAAGTTCAATCATCTACATTAATTTATTATAATTTATCACTGCCTTAAATTATCAAAAAATGTTTTCTGCTACCCTAGATGGGGTTTCAGGTTAAAAATGGATTAAATAGCCGGGACAGTGTGGCTCAGTGGTTGAGTGTTGACCTAGGATCCAGGAGCTCGATTCCCGGTCAGGCACAAGCCCGGGTTTCAGGCTTGATCCCCAGTGGGGGATGTGCAAGAGGCACCTGATCAATGACTTTCTCTCATCATTGATGTTTATATCTCTCTCTCCCCCTTCCTCTCTCTGAAATCAATAGAAACATATTTAGAAAATTAAAAAAAATAGATTAAGTAATAAGCAAATTAAAGAAAATGTTAAAAGAGAAAATATGATTTTATTTGAAAATATTTAGGCTAGGTTTTCCTTCAGTGCAACAGTGAACATCAAAGAATAATCCATGACTGTAAAATGAAAGATGACAGCTTCTCTGGTCTCTGCTCCATTTACTAGACTGGCAGTCAGGAGTTCTTTTCCCCTTCCATGGCCGGCTGTTTTAACACAGAGCTGATATGATAACCTTAATTAGGTCAGAGGAGAGAAATTAGATCAAGAAATTACTGGCTGCTTCCAGTTGATGAAGAGAAGGGCCACACTTCCTTCTGACAGTCTTTTTAAAACAAAGTTACGCCGCTTATGCTGCTGTTTTCTCCCAGCCAAACAAGACACCCCTCTGCCCCTTCTAAATAGCCAAGAAAAATTGTGCAAACATCTCAATGGCCACATAGAATCCATCTATCCTCTTATGCTCACTCACTGCCTAGTATCACAAAGGATATGGGAATTGGAAAGGAATCATAGGTTTAAGTTAATTTTTGGTGAGGCAAGGTGTTGGTAGTTTGGGTTGGGACAAATTCATCACATTGGCTGAGCTGACAGATAATTTCAGAGGTTTCTGCTTGATACTTAATGTATATTGGTGTTCCCTGGAATTTTCCATGTGTTATATCTCCTCTAGCCTCCATGTGAAAAGTCCTCTGTGTGTTTGTTTTCTCTGAGTCTCTGGACAGCTCTTCATGACTAACAGAAACTCTCGTGGTTGCTACTGCTAAACCTGTCTTGTTGGTGGTGCATTCTGGGCTGTAGAGGGGTTACTGGAGGTGGGAACATGCCCTTTGGTTCATGACCCAAAGAAAGAGCAAGAGGGCATGGAATCCTAGAAGACCACAAGGAGAGGCAGGAGAGAAACTAAAATGGAGAAATGGGTTTTACCAAAGGTTGGCCTTAAACTATAGAATTCTGCAGTTGGCACATTTGGTTCTGATACTTCAAAATAAGGCTTTTCAATTAGCAATATTGTTGATATTTCTTTCTATGTGTTTACAATAATTATATCTAGTATTTGAACATGTGCTGGAGCATCTCTCCCCACAAAGAGTTTTCATCTAAATAAGATGGAAGTGAGCTGGAACAAAAACCAATTCTTAAAGAAGAGTGGGGAGATGTATTACCCTATGTACAGGTCATCACATAACCAGAAGCTTCCCNTACAAGTCATCACATGACCAGAAGCTTCCAACAGATGATGGTTGTCAGAATTGTGTCCAATCATCAAAAACCCATAGATTTGAATTTGTGCTAAAAACAAAACAAAACAATACAAAAAATTTCAACGAAAAGAGAAAGCATTTTACTCTACATGTTTAGTGGCACAACCACAAGTGTGACAGAAATATGGTAGTCTCCCACGTTGGCCATTCTGGATGGTGATTTGGGACACGAAAATGCGTGACCCCTGGACACAATTGCAACATCCATCATCTGTGGAAAGCTTCTGCTCCTAATGACCTGTACATAGGGTCATACATCCTCCTAAAGCTAACCCTAAACATAACACTAACACTACACCTAATCCTAACAGTAACCATCTCCCTAACCCTAATCCTCAACATAAACATAACACTAGGTCTAATAATAACCATAAGCATATCGCTAACCCTAACCCTCAACAAGACCCTAACCTTAGGTCTAAACTTAACCCTAACAATATCTCTAACCATAGTCCTAAACATAACCCTAACCCTAGGTATAAACCTAACCTAATCATCACTCGAACCCTAACCCTCAACATAACCCTAACGGTAGGTTTAATCTGAACCCTAAAAATCTCTCCAACCCTAGCCCACAACATAACCTAACCCTAGGTATAATCCTAACTCTAACCATCAGTCTAACCACCGCCCTCAAAATAAACCTAAACATTGGTCGAATCCTAACCCTAAACATCTCTCTAACCCTAGCCCTCAACAGAACCCTAACCCTAGCTCCCATCCAGACCCGAACCGTCTCTCTAACCCTAGCCCTCAACATAACCCTAACCCTAGGTCCCATCCAGACCCGAACC